GATGATGATGATGATGATGATGATGATGATGATGATGATGATGATGATGATGATGATGATGATGATGATGATGATGATGATGATGATGATGATGATGATGATGATGATGATGATGATGATGATGATGATGATGATGATGATGATGATGATGATGATGATGATGATGATGATGATGATGATGATGATGATGATGATGATGATGATGATGATGATGATGATGATGATGATGATGATGATGATGATGATGATGATGATGATGATGATGATGATGATGATGATGATGATGATGATGATGATGATGATGATGATGATGATGATGATGATGATGATGATGATGATGATGATGATGATGATGATGATGATGATGATGATGATGATGATGATGATGATGATGATGATGATGATGATGATGATGATGATGATGATGATGATGATGATGATGATGATGATGATGATGATGATGATGATGATGATGATGATGATGATGATGATGATGATGATGATGATGATGATGATGATGATGATGATGATGATGATGATGATGATGATGATGATGATGATGATTGTGATGTATGTGCACTGCACTACGTCATTGACACTTATGTGTGTGGTAAAGGTTCCGTAATGAAAAGAGACACATGATATCTATGTAGTATGATGTATATATATATAAGTATTGAATAGGTAAGTATTAGTACAGCATTACGCATTGACAATAAGACGTACTGCCTCTTGGCTACACGTACTTGCTCTGGACTGTTCGTCTGGTTACGTCTGACTGACTATAGTACTCGAATAGTTGAGACGCTCGAAACGCTACGCATAAACACACTCATTCGCGCTACATGTATTGTCATTCGTACACACACTCATTCGCGTACGTTACATGTGTTGTAATACATCACAATGATCATGATGATGATAATGATGACAATAATGATGATGATGATGATGATGATGATGATGATGATGATGATGATGATGATAGTGGTGATGGTAACAATAATAATAATAATGATAGTAATAATAATGATAACAATTATAATAATAATAATGATAAAAATAATAATAGTCGAAATAATGATTGTCATAACCATAATAATGATAATGATAATAATAATTTTGTGTGCGTGACTAAGGGTGTTGAAAAGCTTCTTATTGACAGTATAGTAAATGTACGATTAACAATGGTCCACACTTTTGATAGTTTTTGCTTATTAGAAATGCATAGTTACTCCTTTCTCGTAATAAATATTGCCTTTTATATGAGGTGCTGAACTTCCTAATTGGACTATCACAATTTCGTCAACTCGAACCAGCTTTCGTACTTTTGGATCACATTTTTTACGTGCAAGGAACGGTATTAAAATCTAATTCTTTCCCTGGATAAGCCTTTTACACTAAAATTTTCTATTACAACTTCTTATAATTTAGCATGAATTAAGGATAATGTATTAGTAAAAACAGATTCTTCGTGTTTCTAATATTTGTTGCTGCTTTCTTGTAACTTACAGTGATCTTTCGGGTAAAAATCAACGCAAATGTAACCAAAGACTATTTTTCATTATTTTATAGAGTTATACTTGCGTAAGCTCGTAATAAGCTAGAGTAAGCTAACGAATTTCGAATGGTAACCTTGAGAAAATATTTTACTAAGGTAGTTGTTTTTGAGTACACTTGCACCTCACCTAACTCTTCACACCACTCCACTGTGAGTTGGACTCATTAACACTGCACCATGCCACTAAAGCTCAGCAAGAATTTTTAATTTTATTGAATTTTATTTTTTTTCTCTAACTGATTCTCTAAATCTTTATCCTTGGGATAAAAATTATACTTTTATTGGTCGCCATGAGCTAGAGTATCATAACTATAGGGTAAGCTAACAATTTCAGAATGATAACCTTGAGAAAATATGTAACTAAAGTAGTTTTTTTCCCACATCCTCACACCACATCACCCTGTGTTGGACCTATTACCATTCAACCATGCCACTGCAGCTCAGCAAACATTCTTAATTTTATTAAATTTTGTTTTTTTTTACTTAAGAAAATTTTCTTCAAGAAAAGTAAAACTCTTACACTCAAGATCTCAGCCTGCAATCTTCTGCACACAATTGAAGTGTACCTTACCCACTATGTTGTAAGTGGTCCCAATCTAAGATGTTCGATTACTTTTTTCTATGGCGCGCTTTGTAATTAAATGTTTTTAAAAATGTTTTTTTTTACAGATAAGTTTTGTTAGTTGAAAAAAGGATTTTAAAATATGTTATTCATTAAATAAATTTTTGCTTCGTTTTAAAAACAATTTTTTTTAAAACTGAGAAAACACTTTATTTCAGTTACAGTCAGTTACAGTTTTTCTGTGTTATAATAAATATTTACTTGTTTATTGAAAGTTTAGAAATTTTACAACTAATTCAAAGTTATTTAGACAAATTTCAATCTTTTTCTTTTTTTAATTTGTAGTGCCATGTTTTTTCTAAGTTCGCAATCTAGAATAGAAGTATGGTAAAATGAATCTTGATAGATTCTGCGTTAATTTACGGCAGTGCCTCATGCAAAGTAAAGGAAGATTAAAAAGGTTCGGGAGGATTTGAAAACCATCTCTTCTTACGATTTTTTTCTTTTGCATATGAATGTTCAAACGATGAAGAGCTCTGATTACTGAAAACTCAAAGACGAAGCTGCTGGTGCTAAAAATAAGCAAAGAAATAAAAAGAATATGCATGAATTGCTAGAGTTCACAGAATCAATCAAGAAAATAATTAAACTGTACAGTTTTACGTGAACAATCAAAATTGTTACAAGAGCTTAAACAAACAACAAAGATAAATTAAAATCAAACAATGCACATCTTTCAGATGTATGACAATAATTAGCATACAGGCAAGTATAAACGAATGACTACTTAAACAAAAGTAAACTTCAAAGAAGCAATTAAACAAACGTAATTGTGCATTTAAGTGATAGTCAATGGTGCATTAAAACAAATATAATTGTGCATTCAAGCAATCATAATGGTGCATTTAAGCACATATGAATTGTGGATTTAAGCAACAATAATGGTGTATTAAATAAATAAAGCAATAAAAACATTGTATAGAGTAAATACCTTTGTAATATACCTAATGCTTATTGTAACATCACTTTCAAATGTTGTCAAAATCAGCATCACAGCCTTCTTTGTCTTTATTCGCATGAACGCTCTTCAGAAAAACATTCTTTTTACAGTAGCCTGTAGGGCAGCTAGTTGGTCAATTTCTGGGCCTTTGATACTGTATGATATTTTACTTTGTATCGACTCTACAGCATCTTTAACGTTAGGTCCAGCACATGGTTTATTAGTTGCTGTAACTTTTTTGCTTAACAGATTTTGATCGCCTTTAACTGTTGGACTCAACTGCCAACATACACTCACATTACCTTCTAGAGATTCGTTGTATTCCAAGAAAATGATTAAAATAAAACGCCGAGATCTCCATCAAGATAATTCGTGGTAAAAAAAAGTTCTTCTCGAAAAAAAACTGGAAAAAAAAATTTTCATGCAAACATAAGATTGCTGTAAGAGCATCTGCAAGTAAATAATCAAGTAAATAAATTCTCATTATTATACAATTTTTCTTGTAATAAAACGACTGTTGCTTCTATTTATATTAAATCAAATGACTTTGATTCCTCAATATAGCTTATTGCTTCCCACTGTCAATCACCAAAAGAATAATGTTACTCCATTATCTATAGCTGACAGTTTGACTGTCAGGAAAAGTTAATTTATACATGATTCCCGTCGCTTGTGGCTCGAAAAAATTTCTACTGAACATGACTAGTTAACACAGAGCGGTGTTGGCTCGGTGGTAAGCGTGCTTGTAACTAATACAACACTGTTTTAGTGGTCATGGCTACGAATCCCGAGAAATACAGATTTTTTTAAATACTGTCTTCATCAAAAAAATTTCCTACGCAACCCCAGTTGTTTTGAGGCAGGTTTTTCCGTTAAATTTTCCTTCAGAGTAATTCCAGGGTTTTTTCCTTGCCCCAGAGATCTTCAGGCCTGAATGAATGCGAAACAGTGTAAGGGCTATAGAAAGGCATTAGTGGATCGGATGTGCCTGGCAGGGATCGTCGGCCTTATCGGTGAAGAGTGATCCCTGAAACATAGGGATTCTCTAGGTATGCCAATTAGCCTAGATCCGGTGCTTTGGTAAAGAGCATAACTAGTTAGAAGTGGACATCCTGAAATATGGAGTCTCATCCAGGGGAAGGCTTCACAGTGGCGAGTGGACCTGATGCACCATTGGTGCAGAGAGTGTCACCTTAACTGGTAATGTGTTCCACTGGAGATACTCACACTTTGTCCATGGATTACGTATGATTTAAGTATAGAATTTGAAAATGGGTGTGGCGATACATTCCCACACATAGATAGTCAGCGGGTGGCCCTGGTGACTAGGCCAGCAAGCTGTCATGCTAACCCAGTAAAAAAAAAAATAGTTAAAATAATTACAGACATAATTCTATACACTTCCGAAGAACTGTGGCTAAATTCTTAAAAAATTGGTATAGTATTGTTTTTATAGAACAGTAATTGGTTTTAATTATTAACTAAAAGTTTATTTTACATGCAGTGTGATTAGGTACATCTTGTTTCATATGTTTTAATTTGTAAATACTTGGGTATTGTTTTCAAGATAACATCTCTTTCATCATACTGTATAAAAATACTTTTTCCACCCTCAGGTGATTTTGGAAGGCTGGTACTTCCTCAGGCGAAAAAACAGTTTTCCGGAACTTGTTCGAAAAGTCTCCTTTACGAACCTCGTTACATCCCTTGCCTTCGGCGCAGGCCGTAAACCTCTCAGTTCGCGAACAGAGACTTTTCAAACTCGTAGGAAAACTACTATTTTACTAGCAAGCAAGGGCATAAGCCTGAGACTCCAATCTTTTATAAATTATGGTTGATTTTTAAGATTAGAAAAAATTTGAAATTTATCGTTACAGGTCAGGAAAGATTTGGAAACATGACTAGAGTTTATTACAAAGAAGCAGTTGGTGCATTTATCGTATTTGATGTTACAAGAAGTTCAACATTTGATGCAGTATTAAAATGGAAACACGACTTGGATCAAAAAGTTGTACTGCCTAATGGTCTACCAATTCCATGTGTTCTACTGGCTAACAAATGTGATCAACCAAAAGAAGGACTTGTGACATTACCTAATAAATTAAATGACTATTGTAAAGAAAATAATTTTATTGGATGGTTTGAAACATCAGCAAGAGACAATATAAATATCGAAGAAGCTAGTAATTTCTTAGTAGATCATGTGAGTAACATTTAAATTATTATTGTAATGGATATTTAATAATTCACATTAAATGAATAACATGTCATTATTTTACAATACTAACAATTCGTTGCACAAATTGTGATAGTCTAAAGCATTCTAGAAAAAAATACTAAAATGATTTTTGTAACTCCGTGTTTCTTCCAAAGAGAATGATAAATATAACTTTGAAATAAAATTTAAAGTTAAAATATGGCACATAGCTTATGATTACGCATGGTATTTATGACATTGTCTTCAAAGTAAAACTATAATTATTATTAGCTTGTGTATTAAAACAACGTCATTTCTTATAACTATTACATATGGACGTATCCAAGTCACTTCTCCCCAAGTCAATAACAAAAAATTACTCAAACGTGCTTGTTAAACATTAGTATGTTTCAAATGCAAGAAAAAATTATCGTTTTTATGATAATACATGTAATTCTAGTGCAAAATTTAGTTCTTTAAAGATTTTAAGCTCTAAAGTTAAAAAAAGGTAAAAGGTAAAACAGTCATGTCGTAATTACCAGTTTTAGTTTTTTTTTTCTTTAAACTCAGATAGTAACATCAACGAAGTTTATTGTTTTATAGTCATTATTTAGCTCTTTCTGCTTTAACATTTAGAAAAATCTCATTTTTAAAGTGGTTATTGATTTTCATCAAATAATTATAAAGGTATCATTTTGATGACGACGTTACTTTGATTGTCTTAAGATGTAAAAAATGTAACAGAATTATGACAGTGATAAAGGTAATAAGATAAACTGCGTTTATTATGTCAAATAATTTGATTGCAATTACTCAGAGTTCAATCATTTTCCTTGTTCTCTTTCATACAGAAGATTTTTATTTCTTACTTGGAATGTTACAGATTTTATGTCATAAATCTGAAAACTGTAGCAGTTTTTCGGTCGTAGTATGAATGCTTAAACTAAAGAAATCTCAAAATAAATAAATTTACTAACGATTGCTCAAGAACAACAAATAGACACCACCAACTTAAAAGAGGGTGACGTTTCACTGGCTTAGATTCTGCCAGTCAGGCCAAATTAGCCCATTACTTATGAACACTCAAAACAACAAAACAACAAAATACAACAATTTTATAACCCCAACGAAATAAATGAATAATTATCACAATTTTAAAATTATTATCGACAAATTGGTGTCGCTGAAAAAGATACGAGTGCAAATTCACTCTCGTCAACTTTACGTCTACATCGAGTAACGGTCTGACTATATCTGCACTATGCACAGTGACTGGTGACACCACAACAATAACAGATATCGAACCGCTCGGTGCCTATCAATATTTAACAATACTAGCCACAAAGGTGAATACACTCTACTAAGCCCGTTAACGTCTTCTGTCTTATTGAAAGTATTTATATTTAAATAATTGTAAACTATGTCTAATAAGAATTTCCTTTTTTTGTTGATAGGATTTTTGTCACATACAATTACAGAGTTCTAGTTAAAATTTTGGCTAAAATTACTTTTATGCTTAGACACAACTGCATGATTTTTTTATTCTTTAAAATGTTTATAAATATGACGTTTTGAAGCTCGCTTCGTTTGCTCAACATAACTAGTGGGACAATCGCCCTAAAAAGACTTACATACGACCTTTGTCGTCTTCTGCCTAGACATTTTATCTTTACCTAATTTGATGATAATAGTAAGAGGTTCATGAATTAATGGAAGGACGGGATCATTATGTGACCTTATGCTATTAAAACTTTATTTAAAATTGGTATTTTTAATGTAGTATCTAGAAAATTAATGCTGTCATCATGATGAAGTTTCTGTGTAAGTGTCAAGTTACTGTGGTAGACATAAGGAATCTTTATTATGATATTAATATTATTCTTAAGGACGCTCATTACAGTTAGAGGAGAGATGTAGAGAGTACAGTGAGGAGGGAGTGAGCATGCGGTAGTGCCGCCAACTATTTTGAACGCATTTGTATACGTAGAGATTGAGGTCTGACACTGTTTTTTTTTATTTAACTGCAAAAGAAACTTGTCTATCTCTCCAAAAATTAAGAATAAGACAAGAACTATGGTATTTCTTCATGCAAATAAAAATTCTAAAAATTCTACATACTATTTTCTTATAAATTCCATTTTTATGTGACTCCTCCATTAGGTTACGTATTTAGTTAAAGTTTTTTAAACATTAGGTATTTAAAAAATGGTGTTGCGAAACGATATTAGGTCTTACATGTTACTTTTTCACAATATTACAAGCATCTTGTTGACATTTTAGGAAGATCGTAGAGAAAACGCTATGTGCGATAAACGTCCTTAAGGATGCATAGTATTTTGTGATAAACGTAGCAATAAGAAACAAGGGGCATACAATTGTATTTATTATTCAATGATAAAAGGCAACTTTATTCACACTCAGTTGTAATAAGATCAGCAAACATAGAAGGAACGGGAGAACCCATGGGTATATCGAATATTTGTCGATAGGTAGTGCCATTTAATTTAAAAAAGGTAATATCAAAGAAAAATTTTGTACACTCTCTATGTATGTCAAGCGGAATTTAACTTTTACTCTGTAGATGTTGCTGTGTCCTATTTAGACTTTCTAATTCGAGTTTGCACGAAATATTAGTAAGCAACGATGCCACGTTAAAAGACTTTAAAGTAAAATAAGACGGAATAGTAACATTTTTAATTTTATTTCTTAATCCAAAAGTACTGTCAATATGTGAATCTGCTGGTAAAAAGTCAGTTTTAAGGCTACTGTAAACATTTTTGCCAAGAAGTGTGTAGGACTATTGACAACAGAAATAATAGGTCCAAGAGGACAGTTATTTATGTGTATTTTTTGGAGTCCGTACGCTCTATTTATTTTTTCTAACACTCTGTGCGAGCTCGTATTAAAAAGTCTCGATAGTAGACAGCAACATATACAGAATCAAAGTGAGATTTCACTTGACATACTTAAGGATTGTAAAAAATTTTTGTTTGATAATACTCTTTTTGAATTCAATAGCACTACTCATCGACAAATGTTTGGTACACCTGTGGGTTCTCCTGTTTTGCAGATCATGTAAGGACAAATTGTCAATGAAGTTGCCTTTCATTTTTTAAAAACCAAAACAATTGTATGCTTTTTTTTTATTAGCGCTACGTTGATAAGGGGATAATGTGCATCCATAAGAACGATACTGCTACTGTATTTTAGGTTTTCAATAGCTATTACGGCAACTTAACATTCACACATAAACTTTAACATAATATCAGCTAGAGTTTTATATAGATAACATAATTAGTATGAAATTCCTGGATTATTACAAATTGGTTCATAAAAAAACCGTCCTCTTTTCGTAACTTGACCATTTTTTCAAATTATCCTCTTGCATTAAAAAGAATGTTGTATACAATTTGGTAGACCAGAATAATCTCATATTGCATCATATTTTTCACAGTGAAAATATTAATATTGTAAGACAGTTACTCCTCGATAGTGACTACCTAACTTCGTTCATCAATAAACACAACACATACCGTATCTCTGCTTTATCTGATAAACCTTTTCGCAATGCATTTTTTCCATATCCGTATGATCATGTTCCAAAACTCTTCATACCTATTTCCTTTGTTAATGAATCATCAATTTAGAAAAAAGTAATAATAGCCTTAGGTCATTCTTAGTTGTATTATCAAATCAGGTAAAGATAAAATGTCTAAGCAGAAGACGATGAAAGTTGTCTGTAAGTTTTTTCAGGGCAATTGTCCCACTAGTTATGTTGAACAAATGAAACGAGCTTTGAACATCGAATGAATACACATTTTAAATTATATAAAAATAACGCAGTTGTGTCTAAGCATGTTAGTAATCTTAGACACAATTTTAACAATAACTCTGTAATTGTATGGGATAAAAAACCTAACAACAACAAAAAATTTGTTATTGGACATAATTTATAATTATTTAAATAGAAATAGTTTTAATACGAAAGAAGACATTGATAAGTGTATTAGAGTGTATTCACCTCTCTGGCGAGATTTGTCAAATATCGATAGGCATCAAGCGGTCTGATATTTCTTATTGCTGTGGTGATGCCAGTCACTGTGCAAAGTGCAGATATCGTTAGACCATTACTCGATTTAGATGTAGGGTTCACGAGAGTAAATTTGCACTCGTACCTTTTTCAGTGACACCAATTTGTCGGTAATAATTTTTACATTGTGATAATTGTTTTTTTATTTTCCTTGTATTATAAGACTTTTGTATTTTATTGTTTGTTAATTTATGTATTTATACTGAATAAACTGTTTTGGCCTGATGAGGCTCGTAAAACCTAGGCCTGCTAAACGTCGCCTTATGAAAAGTAAGTGCTGGCTACTTTTTGTCCTTGTGCGATCGTTGATCAATTTTCTTATTATGTAATGTAAAGGTACATCATCGAAGCACTCGCTCAATAGTCGTCTAATCAAGTATGAGACTTTATGATTTTAATTATTAACAAAACTGCCAATATTTTAACCTCATGTTGACGCCATTTTCAGGGCAACTTATAACAGTGTTTAAAGAAATAAAGAACAACATCAAAAATAATAAATATCAAAATATAAAAACTATGTCTTAATACCAATGCAAATGTTAGGACACAACCTAACACTGTAAGCAGAGCGACAAAAACTTACTGTATAATTACAAAATTTATAAGAGTAATTTTTTAGTAAAAATGTTTTTTTTTTTCTTTAAAAGGTAACATCATAGAATGAACGTAGGTAAAAAGCAAAAAAGTGTATATAATAAAGTAAACAGAAAATTAAACTAATTATCACAAAGTAGTGTGTACATAAAAATTAGACAAAATATTCGAGGACGTTAAAAATCCAAGAAACATGTAAAACTGTATTTGACGTATACGACTTATATGGCACGTAAGAAACGTATTAAAATGTATAATGTACATATAAAAAGTTAATGAGGAGTAATTACGACTAATTATTTTGTTTAATATCTCATAA